GAAGTTAATAAATATACTTACAAATATTTTACAAGCCAAGTCTATCTTCTTATTCATCTCTTCTTTTACCCATGTTGATACTTTGTAAAAAGTTTCATGTGCTATTTTTCTTCGTTCGCAAAATCATTGTCCCAACCTTTTTGGATGAAATCTAACATTCTTAAAACAAGGATCTCTCTCGCTTTTAGTAACAAGAAATTTATTGATTCTACCATGTTTGTTATCAGCATATCATAACATCGCCGTGGGAACCACGATCGAGCCCATCTCTCTGGCGGCTCTTCCATTATGTAATTGTATGTTTTTTTTTCAACACTTTTGATCTCGGACATTAACTGGTTAAAATCTTCATGTTTGTATGACCTTGCAGCGCTTTGAAAAAGATTTATTACCATATTTTTTGCATGTCTTTACTTTAAATTCTTCTCAAAGTGATAGAGGTAGATATAATGGTGAACTTCAAGATAAATTTGTCTAATCCCATTTGCGATAGATTGGTTTCTCTCTAATAAGAAAACCAGTTCATGACGGACTTCAATTGCTTTTCTCATTTCCTCGAAGAACTAAATGTATGCATCATTGTTTTCTGAATCTACTACACCAAAATATAGAGGAAAAATTTGATTGTTTGCATCATTTGATACAGCAACAAATAGAACACCATGATATTTTGACTTTAAAAATATTGCATCAACTACAATCACGGGTCTACAGTAACGTCAACCAGCTATTGATGCCGCAAGAGCAAAGAACATGTAAGCAAACCTGTACAGGTGAAACACAAAAAAATAAATCATAAGGTGTGAAGTTTTCAATTAGGAACATTTGAAACTTCAGACCGATGGTTACTATTTTTTTGCTAACCGATTCTGCTCATCTCTTTTTATGCTAGTGTACACCCCTGAGTTTCTATGCCCCATCATGTGAAGAATGTATGAAGGAAAAATCTGGTAATTCTCTTTCGGTGTTCCTCTTATACAAGTAATAGTTTTTTGAATAGTGTGCCATGTCTTGTGATATCCAATGTCAATTCCATTTTTTTTTTCATTTCGCTTTCTATAAAGGCTGGTGTAACCTCAATCTTTTTTTATCCCGAACATGTTCTAAAATTTGCTCACTTATAAAATTTGATGTAGCATGCTTCTGATATGATTTTCTTGCATCAACCGAGCATTTATGGTTGTTATGAAATTTTATCACCCTGAAAAGTGTGGAATTTTTATTCTGGTAGCACGTACATTCCAACCACATTTCTCCATGATGCATTTCAACTCGTATCTCTTTGAAATGATCTAATAGCAGTGAATTCAACTTTTTGGTTTATCTCCAAGCTTCAGAAAAATTTAGTCATGCTCTTCTTGTTCTAAATAAGTGATCCTACTTTTATTTTCTCAGGCAATGCATCGTGCCTAAGTATTTTACATGGTGGGGATTCTTTCAACTTTCTCCTCACTCTTTTTCTTGATTTCTTAGAAACAGTAGAAGTTTCATCAATTTCTTCAATTGTATCTGATGTTATCAGTATAATTTCTGTATTTTTTTTATCTTGGTTGTTGCTTATCATTGCAGGAGATAACAAAAACTTTGTTCGATTGTGTGTTGATTGTCTATTTGCATTATTAACTGTCCTTCTTCTTGTTGGGCCTCACCAAACTGGTATGAATTTATTGTAGCGGCTGGTAATTCTTGCAGCATTCCATATTCTGAATCAGCTGTAATGTTAGAAGGTTGTCGCTCATTGTCTACTTCCATTATTGGCTGTTCTACTTCGTGTTGATAATCAACAAGTTATTATGAATCTATTGTATGTGCAAGAGATGGTTTGATTTTTGCAAATTCTAAAGCAGCTATACTGTTAGAAAGTAGTTGTATTTTTTCGACGACAAAATGGCAATTCTTTAAGGCTGAATCAGTTATTAGCAAATGTATACATGTTTTGAGTTCTTCATCTGAAGTTACGAGCATCCCTTTTCTTGTATTTAGTTTGATATCAAATCATATTTTTAGTGAATATTTGGTTGAATCAAAATCTTTGATTTCACTAATTTTCTTCAAGAAAGAATTGAATGATACTTGTTTAATAACCAGAACAAGTTTTGTATCATGATCTAAGTAGTTGTAATCAAAAGTCTACCTCTCATTGAAAGTAATAACAAGGCAAATCGAACTCATCCTACATAATCGAAACTTCAGCATGTTTAGTGTGAAGTGTTAGAAAAATGAACAAAAAAAGTTAGCATGTATACATACGAAGTTTAGAAAAAATTCATTAAAAAATTACATACTGCAGGACAAAAACTTAAGCATGTTTGGTATGAAATTTTAGCAAATGAACTAAAAAATTTCAGCATAATGTAGACTACTTGAGAAAACTTCAGCAAGTGTTGGTATGAAGTTTTATCAAATGAACTAAATAACTTCAGCATCTATTAGCATGAAATTTTAGCTTCAACGTGAAACAACTTCATGCTACATTAGCATGAAGTCTTAGCTTTAACGTGAAATAACTTCATGCTACATTATTAGCATGAAGTTTTAGCTTGTACATGATTAAAACTTCAGATTTCAACGTGTAACAACTTTATTCTATATCTTTCATGCATTAAATTTGAAGTTTTGAAAAGTTTTTGAAGATCTATAAGTGAAAACTTCATGCTATATCCGTCAAACAACTTCATGCAAGTGTGATTAAATGAGCATAAGTGAAAATATTCATAGGCGTTAATTGAATTCAGATTTTGTTTTTTAAGTTTAAAATTTACAAGTATGATGAACTACGAAAATAATTGCAGAAATATATATCATGAAGATCAATCAGTTTCACAAACTAATTTGAATCCTGAAGATGAATTACAATACTTACAATGTATTTTGTAATTTTGAATTCAGAATATGAATCTGGTTCAAGTTTCTAGTTTTTTTGATAAAGCTGCTAATAGGAGAGGAGATCTTCGACCAGGGTTGAAGGAGATCTTTTGAAGAGGGAAGGAGTGATAGAGGAGATCTTTTTTCACGAATGAGGTTGCAGATCACGCGATTAATGCATGATGCAACTTTTATATCTTTTGTGAGGGGTATAATTGTCATATTATTACAGATTTTTTGTCAGCTGACTACTAAAATAATGATTTTTAAAAATAGGGTATATGTTAAAAGGTGGCACAAATATAGAGTATGACTGCAAATCCCCCTATATAAGTTTATCATAACTAATGTAAAACTTAAGGTTGAGTATATATATTAATTAACTATAATTGAATTATGACACGAGTTAATGTAAAACCAAATGTTATGTATTTAATGTGACATAATTAAGTTTTTTTTTTTTATTGTTTACTCCCCCGGTCCACAATAAGTGACCATTTTACATTTTAATTTTGGTCCAAAATTAGTGTTCATTTACATAATCAAGAAGGAATTAATTTTATTTTCTAAAATTTGCCCTTATTTACATATTCCAATGTGTTAAGGCAATAATTAATTAAGATTAATTTAATAAATATTTTTTTCTCTAAGAGTTCATATTTTCTTAATAGGTGTAGCAAAGATAAAATGTCTCTTATTGTGGACACAGAGTTTGTTTCTTTAGGTTCTCGTGAAACTTGAAAAGAACAATCAATTCTCTGATTATCTGCAGTATTCGAGAGTGCAAAGCCATGATTTTACAGTCTTATGCGGGCTACAAATGTAAGATCCATTTTTGCAATATCACAATTAGTCGTGTTCATAAAAATTCGAAATCAAACCAAATCGAAAACCGAACCAAACCGACTAAAACAACTGATACTTTTTAGGTTTGGTTTGGTTTGGTTTTGGTTTAAAATTTTAAAAACTGATCGAATTTGATTTGATTTTAATAAAAAAATAACTGAAAAAACAGAATCAAACTGACTATAAAAGTAGCTATTTAACTTTATTATTACACCTATATATATGTATATATTTATATAAAGTTTCTGAAATTTTATGATACATATTAGTCATTTGTATTTTTAGTCTAGTTCTTTGCTATTATAATAATCTAATTCTTTGCCTTTTAATTTGATTTGTAGTTTTCTTTTGCTAAGTACAAGAATTTATTTCATGTTAAAACTAATTAAATTTTAATTGAGTACTTAAATTATTCATCACTAGTTGAGTCAATTATCATTAATATATCTTGGTAAATGGTAAATGATAGATTTCTCAAAGAACAATTAGTTTGATAACGTTACGTTGAAAATGTAGTCGCCGGAATATGCGTTTGGTAGTGTATGTCTCATATTTAAGAAAAATCGATAAATAACCGAAAATCGGAAAAACCGATAAAGATCGACAAAAACGGAATCGATAAAAAACCGATTTAATTGGTTTGATTTTGTTCAAATATTTGAAAAACTCACTTACTCGATTTGGTTTCTTTTTAGGGAAAAACTGACCCAAACCGAATCATGAACACCCTTAATCACAACTATTTCCCAATCTACTTTCAATTTTTTTAATTCATTTTCCGAATTTGGTAATTTATTTCATTTGAGATAAGGATCTAGAAGGAAGATACTTTGATGAATTTATCTTGTGGACTCTCCAATTATGACAAGGACACGTCCATTTACAACAACAACAATAAAGTATAATTCACTAGTGCGGTTTGAGGAGGGTAGTGTGTACGCATACCTTACGTCTATCATGAGTAGAGATGTTATTTCCAATAGACCCTCGGCTCCCTCCCTCCAAGAACTCCTCACCTTGCTCTTGAGGTGACTCGAACTCACAACCTCTTAGTTGGAAGTGGAAGATACTCATACTAGATCAAGTTACTCTTGTCAAACACGTACCAATAATACTTAATTATATGATTAAAGAACGTTAATTTTGGACAAATATAAAACATAAGAGTAATGTGAATTTCTAAGCTGGATTTGAGCACTATTTTGGACGTTATTATTGTTTGGACCCCAACATCTTAGTCCCTCAATTATTGATTTTTGTACTACTCCTATATCCCACCACTAGCCAACGTGCGCTCCTGCTATATCATTTCCTTTCCACTAAAAATTCTTTCCTTTTTCTTTTCTTTTCTTTTCCTTTCAAATTCCAAAACTTCTTCACAATATCAAGAAATTCCAGAAGATGAACAAAGTACAAGAATATTAATGTTTCTTCTGAAACAAATGGTGAATTTCGTGACCAAGATTTTATGAAGCTCAATCTGATGTTTAGCTGACGTGGAGAGATGTCATTGGTTGGTCTGAAGGTTGTGGACCCCATGTTAGTACAATTTAGCCACCAACCTACCATGAGCCAACTTTCTTCAGGTTGACCCTTTAGTCCTTATAGATCCCAAAATTCTTTGCCACTTTCCAAATTTAACTGTATTCAAGTTATGAAAAAGGAAAGCTATTAAATGAGAAACGTGACTCTTAAGTAGCTTTATCTTCATGTTGTGACCATTCATTCAGAACCCCATAAGATTTTCTTCACAAAGGTATGTAGTTGAAATCTTGTTTTATTTCCCTTCTTGAAAATTGAAGCTTTCTTTTCATAATTTGACTTAGTTTTTCATAGTTTGCATAAGTGTTTGAGAATTACTTACTTTGGTATAGTTATAGTGTTTTTGGGGGATATAAGGTTTTCTTGTTTAGTGTTGTTTATAATATCCTAAGGAAAAGCCTTTAATTGCAGTGAAAATAAAAAATTTCACTGCAATTTTTATTTTTTGAGCATGGAGGAAGTTGAATTGTTTTGTCTCTTAACATTTGCATGTTTGTATGCTTAAAAACATACTGTTAATCTGAGGCAATTAAGCTCCACGTTTCTTTAGCTTTCCTGTGAGTCTGTGACAAATGTAAAGCTACTCAGAGCCAGAGCTAGAATTTCAACCTTACGTGTTCTGGAATTTAGAAGCATGACTTCAAGTGTTAATAACTAGGGTCTAAATTTAATATTTGTACGTATTTAATGAATTTTTTAACACAAATACACTGTGTCTGAACAAAAGCTACTGGGTTCGCCCGCCCGTAATCGGGCTACTAGCTCCGCTCTTGAAGCTACAAGGTGCAGCAGATTAAAAGAGCTTGTTGACAGTTTGTATGATTTCTAGTTTAATGGATAGATAGAAGACAAGTTCTGTAGTCGAATTCTCAACATAGATAAGCAATTTGATGTCTATATTACTTGTTTAATCCTTTAATGTACTGTAGGAAATCATAATCAAGAAGAGTGTGGAGAAATAAACTACCTATAAGAGACTAAGGATAAACCTTTTGAATCATAATCTTCTTGATGGTTATTTAGCTCTTTTCTGATGTTTCTCAAAGAGCATACAGCTAACAGATTGTCGCACATTATCCTTGTTAAATATTCAATTGCAAGAGTGCTTTGGTTATTTGCGAGGAGAAAGTGAGAAGATGGTCTAAAGGAAAGAAAGGAACTGAACAATTATGAAACATTTTACCAAGTCATGAAGGTATGATAGAAGCTTGACTGAAAAAATCAGAATGTTAGCAAGTAACAAATTGACTGATTAGTTCCTTTGCTTGGATAAAAGATGTTACGGGGTTAGATAATACAAAAACATGCTTTTTATGGTAGACATATTGAGGGCTCAGAACATGATATGTTTGTTATTTTCTTAGAAAGCTAAAATGCCTCAACATTTGGACATATCGTTTTGGCTGTAAAAGGGGCTCATGGTGTAAAATATTCAAGTATTTGTACATCTGTGTGAGACTGTAAGCACGTCGATGATCTCTTTGGGTTTTAAAGTCTCGCTTACCTTTAATCCTGTCAAACTGTTTCTATCTTTTCTTTTGGCTTATTGTTTTCCTATCAAAAGTTAGACTTGTGTGCATTATAGCACTGTATTATTCAAGAGAAGTGGTTTCTGTTAAATTATTCAAAATCATCTATAGATGACCAATTGCCTTGGCACTTCTTAATGTAAAAGACATATAAATGGGATTTAGCCAATATAAGCTTATATAGCCTTTACTATACATTCCTTCAAGTTTTCTTTTGTTTCCTAGCTTCCTACTTATTCACTTGGTCTATTCGCTTTGGAAATTAATATGTGCTTGCATTTCGTGTAATGATGTTTCCCTTCCCATTTGCAGCTTCCCTATCGGAGGTGCTGATCAATGGAAATTGAAGAATTGACTGCACGTACTGATATTATCACTCCACAAGCAATGGAAACCTTAGTGAACGAAAGTCTCTCAAGTGAAGCTAAGGAGATGGAAGAGATGAGGAGTTCCATGGAAATCTTGAGTAGAGTAGATTTGGACCTTGCGTATTCTGATGAGAAATTGGCGAATCTTGACAATCTTTTGATGCGTATCTTGACCTGGGAAAATGAAGTTGAAGCAATTTCTTTCGAGAATGATGATATTTCTCCTGACTCAATTGAGAAAGTCCTGGCATTGGATCACTTATCTTCCATTTTGAGCTCCGAGATAAGACAACTGGACAATTTCATAGGCACTCTTCAAGACCTAGTCACTGGTGCGAGGCAAAAGATAACGTGCAGAGAATTGAATGATTTGCATGTGATAATGGAGAATAAATTTCATGACACTGAAGAGTTATTGAGACAATCAAAGGAGCGTGTCTTAGAAATGAAGATGCAGCTTGCCAAGTCGCAGATGACCTCATTAGCTTTCGACCAAAACGAATGTAAGTTACGAAACTTATTAGGTTCAAGAACGCGTTTTTTCTTTCTTTACTAACATGTTAAAGACTTTACATCTTTTTCTGGTTCATGTATTAACAGGGAGACAAAGGATGAGTTTGGATTTATCAGAAACTAATAATGTTTCAGCAAGAGGATTGAAGCCACACGTGCAGACAGTTGAGCAAAGACGTACATTAAGAATGTTGGAGAAATCACTTGAAAGAGAGCTGGATCTTGAGAAGAAGTTGACTCTGCTTAAACAAAACGAAGATGATCTAAAGTTGAAGCTGCGGTTGACAGAGCAAGTAGCTCTGTGTATGGAAGAGGGTGCAGAGGTTATATGGGGTAGGTTTTTAGAGTCGGAAAATGCAGCGGAGGTACTTATGGGAATTTCCAGAGAGATGGTGAGCCGACTACAGATTGTTAACTTCAATTTGAATGGTTCACTTCAACGAGAGCGCGACTTTAAATTGAAGATTGACAATTGCTTAGGACAGGTAAATGCCAAAGATATTACCATCCAAAACCTTAATAGCAGCATTAAACAACTTACTGCTGAAAATGCCGAAGTATCCTCTTTAAGGGACAGGCTGAAAATTTTAGAAGATAAGTTGAAAGAGTCCGAGTCTAAGTTGTTGAAAGCAAATGAACTGAATGAAGTAAGTGAAGAGCGTCTTAAAGAAATGGAATGTGTCGTAGAATCTCAGAAAGAAGACATCGATATTGCAGAACATAAGGCTGAAAATGCGGAGGAAAAGGTAGCACATTTGACGGAGACAAACTTGGAACTACATGAAGAGTTGGATTTTCTCAAGAGTAGTAATGAAAGTAATGCTAAAAAGGTCAGCATTCTTGAGAAGCAGGTTAGGGAATTAGAAATTCAGCTACAAAATGCTAAGACATCATCTGAAGCAGGTCAAGAACAGCAGAATATGCTGTATTCTGCCATTTGGGATATGGAAACTTTAATCGATGAACTAAAACAAAAGGTCTTAAAAGCTGAAAGCAAGACTGAGCATGCGGAGGAACAATGCATTATGTTGTCCGAAACTAATTTAGAACTTAACAAAGAAGTAGAGTTTCTAAGATCAAGAGTTGAAGGGTTGGAGACTTCTTTGAATCAAGCTACTATTGAAAAAATTGCAAGTGCAAAAGACATTAACATCAAAACCAGCTTTATCATGGATCTGGTCATGCAGCTAGCTATAGAAAGGGAACGAGTACAAAAACAGGTGTTTTGGTTTCCTTTTTTTGTTGCTTTTTGTATAGAAGTTTAAAGTTCGAAACGATGTTGAGTACTGACTGTTTTTCTTTTCTTCTTATTCTTTTTTGGGGCAGATTTTTTGTTTGACCAAGGAAAACAAATCATTGATCAGGAAGTTGGAGACAAAAGAGAAGCAACCGTCCATACATGTACTTGAGAATGGAGGTGGTGATACTGAGCTCTCATCTTCTAGAGTTGTCTCAACAATTGCCACCTCTACAGATAGTTCTCATGAAATTCAAACAGAATCCACACTGAAACGCTCCCAGGTATTTATTTCGTTTTATTGCATACATCATTTCCTAAATATGTTGTGTTCGGATATATGCCACTCATTATCCTACTTACTGTAGTGAAAGTAAGACACTGTTGGTTCTGTTTGCAGTTCAATGTGATTATAGAATTGTCTCTGGAGTTCAGAAGGAAGATCATCTAGAATAAATTATTGCATGCTGTGTATCCCTTATATGAATGTTTCTTCTTAAACATACAGTATCTATGTGCTTATTTAGCTATACTCTTTGACAACATTCTTGTGCTATTGCTCCCGGGGCTTTAGTCTAGTGGTAAGAACATAGCACATGATGTGTGGGTTAGGTGCACATTACGCTGCTGTAGAGAAAAAGCTTGGTATTTAAGTAGAGAAGGTAGAAGAGCAGGCCAATTATCCCCCGAGTTTCAAACTGTACACCACTTGCACTCGGGGATTTCTCGGTTATTAAACAAAAAAAGGAACATTCCGGTGCTATTGGATTAGTAATTATCCAGAATGAAATATGCTTTATGCTCTCATATTTGAGACGCTATCTGTTTCCATGTTTCGTTCTTTTCATGAACAAACCTGGCCACGTTATTTGTGAAGTCTAAAGACCTTAACCTGACCAGACACCTCATATGCTTTTTTGCCTTAGCCTCAGAATTGATGTTTTATGAGTACACTTCTGCAAAGGCTCAATGAACTCTAGCTTATCTAGATTTATTCACCTGCGAATATATATATTTTTCCTTGGGTTTCTTCCAGATGACATTTATCATCCACTCTGATTTGAACTTTCCTTCTCAACACAACAACTACCAAGCTCAAACCAAAAATTTTCTGTCTGCATATAGTATAACCCTCTGATTGAAGTAGTCTAAGGATACTTAAAGACATATTATGTAACTAGCAACACCTGGCAGATTAAGGTTCTGAGGATTACTGATCTTGTTCTACGTCGTCTAATATGTAAAAGCTGAATCTTGATTATTTGCTATCTTTGGTGATGGTTCACATGTAATCTAACTTTCTCCAATTATCTGCCAACTTCTTCTGGTCTTATTTTTCTTTCTGAGGTCATTGCTTCTCAAGATGGGAGATTGGCAGTTCCTTCCATTTTCCTGATTGTTTGTGTTTACTACATAAAGAGATTGACCTCATTCTAGTTGATTAAAAAAAGAAGAGATTGACCTCATTCTATACAAGATATTAACAGCATTCCATAATTCTAATAGAAATGTTGGTTCTTTGATTTAGGTGGACGAATTACCACCTGATAGACCTACCAATCGAGGCAGTAAGTCTTCTATGTCGATAAATGAAGAGCCTAATATAGTTGTCACGTCAGAGGAAACCGAGGTTCAGCTACAGCCAAGGCAACGCCATCACAAGTACATTATCATGTCAATCCTCGTCTTATTACTTTCGACATTAGGAGTATATTTCTTTGGCAAAAGAAATGACATCCTTGACTTGTTGGTGGTTAAATGATATACTAAAACTTGTTGGAATACTTTGTACAGATTCTTTGATTGTTTTGTGTTCAGTGTCTTCTTCTGTTGGCTGTAAATGTTGTTGCGATCTCTTATTTTTTTCATTCTAATTCAAATCTCAAGAGAGAGCAATTCTTTTAAGCGATTGTGTTAGTGGAATGAGTATTGTAAGATCAAGATAGAGCTATTTTTAAAGCAATTATTTTAATGGAATGAGTACTGTTGTGGACTTTTCTTGTATTTATTTGAAGCACTATTGAAGTGGATTGTTGCAAATAAAACACAAATTCAAGATAATTTTCTCCCTAAATGATGATAATCATTCCCTTTCTTTATCTAACTTCCGTTCATATATTTTTCAAGAAAAATAAAACTTCCATTCATATATACTTTCAAGTCTAACCAAATATTATTAGTAATTAAGTAAGTGATTATACATGTTAGAATCGAGCATTCAAATAAACAGAAAAGAATCCTCTATATTAATCATTTTAAATATTATGTTCAAAGCAAGGATCACAAATTAGGCCGGGTTGATTCGATTTCTTTGGGTTCTTTTTTCCCCGTTTTTCTTGAGCACCCCTAATTAGGCCGGTAGGGGATCTTGATTCTAACGTAGGGTATTTGGGGCAGTGACGAAGCTAGAAATTTTTTCGACAAAGGGTGTTAAATATATATTATATACTTTTAAAACGTAATATTTTACCTATATATACAGTGTAATTTTTCGACGAATGGTCATCAGTTGACCACCTTTGTGACCATGTGACTTCGCCACTGATTCGGGGATTATAATTCTTGGATTATTATACACCTCCAATATGGGATAGTTAATACCAGAATTTTAGTTTGAAATTATTTCAATATTAGCAAATACCCATAACCAAACATGCAATAAAATCAATCCAAAATTCTATCCCGAATAAGTTTCCTAAACCCGACAACCATAGGACCCTTAGGACTGTTTGGTACAATGGATAAGCAAAAGTAATTGTGTGATAAAAAATTTAGTACCATCTTATGCCTTATTTGGTTACTAAATCTCGGATAAGTAATCTGAGGATTAAAAATAATACCGGATAACTTATACCTGCCAAAGAGTGAATTAGTAATCTCAGGATAAGTTATCCCATGATAAAGCAATGAAATTGACAATCCCCAGATTAATATAACATACCAAATCGTTAATAAAAATTAATACTAAAATAACTAATCCAGCATAATTATATTTAATATAATTAATTGCATCATAACTTTATCTTCCAACCAAACGTATCAAAGGGGGTAGGGAACGACGTCGTTTAGGTGGTACACTTGATAAATCAAACCAAAACCCTAATGCATCCCTATAAAATGACCATTATAATCGTCAACGTTCAAAGAGCTCGCAGCCATGGCTTCCAGCAATCACAAATGTCGAAAGAACTTAGAAAAAAATAGAGCATAAGAATTATGTGTATTGTAGTAAAGTGCTTGTAATTTCCACACACACACACACACACACACACACACACACACACACACACACACACACACACACACACACACACACACACACACACACACACACACACACACACACACACACACACACACACACACACACACACACACACACACACACACAAAACACACACACACACACAGAGACAGAGTAGTGCGTGGAATATAGTGTGCACCAAATAGCCCTTTGCAATATAAAGTTTGTTATTGCAGAGAAAATACGAGCTAAGGTACTTTCTGGTGCAAAGCTAATTTTTTTGACAAAACTTTTGGCTGAATAATTTAGCCATTTATTCAGCTTTATTTTGCCAAAAAAAAGTTTGTTATAGTTTAAATTTTTTGTTTTTGTTGAATTTAAAATATGCAAGCAAAATGATGAGAATCTATAAGCTGAATTGTATGTTGAATTTGCATATTAAGCCTTCAAAGTTCTCTGATTGCATTGCTCAATTCCCCCCCCCCCCCCCAATAGGTAACTATTATAGTTCTACCAAAAAAATTGTAAAGTATTAAGTGGAATATTGAGTAGTTTTGTTTGTCAAATTTAGTGATTTTGACTAAAGTCAAACAGTTAAATTGAATGGAGGGAGCTGGTTAGTTATTCGAAATACTTGTTTGCATATTTCTTTATTTTAGAGCAGATTTATTTAAACTTGGCAAAGCAAAATGATGAGGAACTATTAGCTGAAATTCTATGTTGAAGAAACATATTTTATGCCTTCAAAGTTCTCTGATTGATGCTAGTTAGAGTGATATTTTTGTTAATCTTGTTATACATTTTACTAAGTGGTCTCGATATGTTGTGCTGATATTAATGAGAATACCTTACTTTTCCTCATAAAAAGAATAGAGAGAATATTATTAAGCTGTCTTGGGTGTATAAATTGTAATATGAGTACATTGTATCTATTTTAGCTTTAACATAATGCTCCTTACAACCTCATTTAGTTAGGACCTTCCTTGGGATTGCCAAAGTGATTGCTCATTGATCATCAGTATTTGTTATGATGATATGGTTGGAGTGTCTCGAATTATATAAATATGAATACAATGCTGTCCTACTGTAATTATCTACTTAGTTGGAAAAACAAGTTAAACTTTGTTTAGGGTTTTTTTGGGTATTTTCAGTTGGAAGTTTTGATCTGACTAATGGGAAGGATTTGAGCACCAAAATACATGGTCTGTCGTTACTATCGTCAGACTATACGAGCATGGTGCTACATTAAGGGCTTTCTTATTACCTGTTGCGACTTGACTATTCATGTTAAATCAGCGGCAAAGGATGTTTTGTGAATAAGAAATACATCGATCACATTTTATAAAACTACAATCATGTTCCTTAGCTTTATGTGTTGTTACTGTCTGCCCTGTTGCATTTGCCTAATTTCCATGAACTTCCACTCTAATGGTGGAACCCTAGTACTATAATAGAATGGAGCTAGGGTGTGGCATCTGCTGATTTGAAAATAACATTAAAGTGGCACTAATTGCTTCTTAGAAAAGGTTATATGGAAAAGTATAATCATGAACATTTTTTTTGCCTTTTTTTGCATAAGACCTGTATGATATTTGCCCTAAAATAGCAGGCCATAGTTTTGGAGAGATGGCAGTGACATGTTTAAATTTGTAGGATACATTTAATTGTCTTCTCTGTTTTTCTGAACTTGGTTAAACAGAACAAGGTGCTACTTATAATTGAGAAAATTTACAGAACAGTAAGAGGATTGCTGTTTGCTTTTGCATTTGTTATCTAATTCTTTGAAGATTTTGATTAGTTGACTCGACTGTTGTAAAGGTTTTTGAGCACCAAAATACTGAGTCTGGCTATTTATACTTACCCTCAGACGATACGAGCATGGCGCTACATCAAGTATTTCTTATTATCTGTTGTCGCTTGAATCTTCATTTTCTATCAGTGGCGAAGGATGTTTTTAGAATAAGAAAGACATATCTTGCATTTTTAAGCTAAAAGCTTGGTCCTCAGTCCTTATGGAGTCTTATATAACCAATATTTGTAAACCAGTTGAATGATTGTTCAATGGTAAAGTTGCAATCTTACATTTTAAACTTCAATGTTCCTCATTTTCCTAATTTCCACGACCCTTAGACTATACAATCAGTGGTATACATCAAATGTTCTTATTATATAAGCTTAGGGATTATCTTATTCTGTGTTGTCACTTGACTCTTTATACTCAACAGGGATCCTTAATTCGTACATTAGATGTCAAAACTTAGTCTTTACATTGCTTTTAAATTTAGTTTGAATTTACAATGCTTATGAATACAGTGGAGGCAATAAAGAATTATACAATGTTTGGATAATAGCTCTTATGATACAAGATTGTTATAAGGTGGCTAAACTTTTTTTGTACTGTTGCAAATTAGACTTTTTATCTTTGAGCTAAGCTTGCATTTAAATGTGTGTTTCGTACATTGAATTTTATGAATTGTTTTTAATGTTTCATTAATGAATTAAAGTATATTACGAATGTTGGCATAGTATTAGCATTCCAAATTTCTTATGCCTTCTTTTAGTTTGACCAAGATTTTTACTAATTTATCCTTAATAATATTTTTTATTTTACAAAATATCTTTTTCAAAATAAAATTTTAATTCTCTTTTTCTCTTCTTCCATATTCATTGTTTATCATTTTCTCTACAAAGAAACTTTTTAATTCATAATTTTTTGTAAAATATTTAAGGGTATTTTAGTCTTTTTAACAAGAAAATAGCTATTATCACTTTTCTACAAAACATATCAACTGTTTTTTATCAGTTTTTCTATCTAAATACGTAAATACTTATTTAAAAAATTAATTTTAGCATTTAAAAATTCTTTTAATGGAGTTTAGCATAATATACTGGAGTTTTAGCATAAGTATACTAGAACTCGCAAAGTATTCCGGTCCAGTATAATATGTTGGAAGTTCATATACACGTGTTCGAATCTCCAGTATATTATGCTGGACTTTTCGTGTGTTTGGAGTTTTTGTATAATATGCTGGAAATTAATACATAGGTGCATCGAACCCCAGTATATTATGCTGGATCGGTTTCTGTTGCAGCAAAATAGTGGCTATTTTTTAATGACTTGACAAACGCTGGCTATTTTTGAATTACCAATGCGAAAACTGGCTAGCCCGTGCTATTTTTGTAGATTTCTTCCATCTTTTTGTGAACTTAATGTAATACAATTTAAAATTTGCTTTCATTTCAAGTAGGGGCATATAATTACTCTTTTTTTTATACCTAGAAGCTCATTGCAAGTTTGACTAAAAGAGCCAGTTGTTCCTAGGAGTCATATAATTTTTGTTCTACATTTTTGAGATATGTATTTATCTTATGTTTGTTTTTTGTTTGTCTATTTTACCTTCCGGTTCAACATCACTTCCAATATTACAAAAAAATCCAAAAGAGGCAATACTAAACCCAGTGTGCTTTTCGTTAAGTGTGGAAATTCGCATCTCCATTAGCTCACATAGTATGGTTTTACTTTTCGACAAAGTAAACATTTAAAATAAAATAGAAAAAATTATTATCTAAATAGGTTAAAGCTATCTAATGCTAGCACTCGAAATTTCTTAAAACAATAGGTGTTTGGGAGAGACAGAAAGTTTTGCACTACAACAAATTCCTTAAGTAAAGTGGATAACTTCTGGGTTGGAGATAAGTGTTTATTGGCTTTTAAGCATTTTTCTAGTTTGTGTGGTGTTTGTCAATGATAAAAAATACT